GTGCTTTTCAGAGCTGCTTGTGTGTGCCCAGCGCTGCCAGGAGGGAGAAGAATTTGGAGTTTAGGAAGAAGAATGTCTTTAAAGAATCTGTAGATGAGTGAACTGCAAGGCTTCAATTTGTCTCTTAGCGAGACTCACTTTTTTGTGGCTTACATGAAAATAATAACAGATTATTTTTGTGTATGTGCAACCGGTGTTTTCTTTCTTTGAGTACTTGCCTGCGTTTGCTGCGAGGTGCTGCTGGCTTGGAGTGTGGCTCCACTGCACCGTGGAGCCGTGGCCGTGTTTGGGTGTGTTCTTTCCTCTGTTCTTTTTCTCCCTTTTGGAATTTACTTGATTTCTTTTCTTTGACTAGCATAGCATATCGTCGTGTCATTCGTGTCTATCAGTATGAAGTTGGGGATGATCTATCTGGAAGGTTTTTTTCCTCTTATTTTCTTACCTCACTTTGGTTTTCAAATGCACCCTTTAATTCCAAGGCTCGCTTTCCTTCCGACTAACTCTCACGGCTTAGAGATGCTTGGAGGTTTGTTTCCCTGTTGACTCTTTCCGTGCCACAGCTGGTTCCCAGTTTCCTGCGCAGGGCTCTGGGTGTGTGCTTCATCTCTTAGAGGTGTGTTGAACCCGAGCCTTAACCCTGTGGTGAGAAAACACCCAGACCTGTGGTGCGTTTGCATTGCTGCAGAGTGATTCAGCGCTTGAAAGAACCCCCTTTTGGGGAAGCTCAAAAGCCTGTAGGGTAGATTTCAGTGGGGATGAAAGCCCAGTTTTAGTGGCTTTAAATACCAATGACTTGGATTTTAGGAACTTAAATATGACAGGGTCAAAAGTGAGGACAGCCCACCTGCACCGTGCCCAGACGTGCTGCCCCTGTGCAGCCTGTTCAGTGTGAAGTCTCCCCGTACGTGTTGGAAGGACAGAGGGTCTTAAACGCTGCGGCTTGGAGGTTGCTTGGGAACTTTGAGGGGGTGAAAAAGCAGCATCCAGAGACCTCCCTGCAGTAGGTCTCGGAGGCCATCACCGCGGGGGCTGCAGGCTGCCTAGAAGCTCCATGTGGAAATGGGACTGAGGAGCGGCCGTGCCTCAGTTTCTCTGGGCACAGGATGGGAGAGGTGGGGTGGGAAAGACAACTCTCCACCAGCTGCTGCTGTGTAGGGGAGGGCTGTGAATTCCTGCACAGATTATGCCATATTAAGATTGCTTTTAAACCAAACCAGTAGTTTTCAAGGTCTTTTCCCCTCATTTTATCCCCACGTAACACACCTCTGTACCTTCCTGGCGAATAGAGCCCCATCTCCAGTGAGTCACCTGTAGTTGGGGGGTGTGTGTGTGTGTGTGCGGGGCACGGGGGGGAAGGGGGGGGACTGCACTGTGTCTAATTTCATCAGGTCCAGTGAAGCGGGCGCTTTGGATCTGGCATGACGTGTGGCTGCTGATCCCGTTGCCTTTCAAATGGGGCTAGAAATTAACTACATAAAGAAATAAGAACCAAACAAGATGTAAACGTGTCGGTCTGAAATAGGATGAGTCAGAATAAACACAACACAAAAAAAATAGTGTTTTAAATATCTACAAGAGGATAATAACTGCTGTAAGGATTTTTAATTTCAAGGAAGGACTGTTAATTTCAAGCCCCACCTGCCATTTGGGATGGGATAAGTGCACGCTCTCACTGTGGTTCTGTGTTTAGGTCTTGCATGGTGGAGGAATCGGGAACGCTGGAATCGCAGCTGGAAGCCACTAAAGTGAGTGATGCTCAGCTCTTGCTGAAACACCTTTCCCAGCTCAGGAACACAGGGTGGGAATGGAAATGCATGTAATTATATGGTAAAATCTTAATTGATTTTACACATTTTGAGTACTGAGGAGACCTTTGGGATTACCTATTTACATATCTGATGTCTGCTTATATCACAAGCCATTTAACTGCAGTCTGATGTAGTTTTTCTTTTTGTTCTTTTTTCTGAATGAGCGGGGAAGGGCAGATCAGATACAGTATTTTCAGCACATTTCCTAATAAGAGGGGTTTTTGTCTTAAGAATTGGTTTGCAAGCCCTCTTGGTTTCCAGTAGTGTGCATGAAGAGAAACATTGTTTTGAATACTATTTTACAAATCCCAGTATAAAAAGAAGAGTATAACCCTTCCTCCCTGCCAGCCTGTGTTCTAACTTTTAACTCTTAAGGGTTTATTGAGTTTTTTTACACTCTTTGATTTTTATTTTTTTTTTTTCTCCTCTCTCCTCCTTCCTAACAGCGCAAGCACCAAGAGATCCGAGCTATGAGGAGCCAGCTGAAGAAGATTGAGGACCTTGGGGCAGCCATGGAAGAGGCCCTTATCTTGGACAACAAATACACAGAGCACAGCACGGTGGGGCTGGCGCAGCAGTGGGACCAGCTCGACCAGCTGGGGATGAGGATGCAGCACAACCTGGAGCAGCAGATCCAAGCTCGGTACTGCCCGACCCTCCTGCAGCGTAAAGGGGGATGGAAGAGGGGAGACCCATCAGCCTGTGGGTGAAAACAAACCTCCCCAGCTCTGTGTTAATGAGTCTCCTGTGCTCTGATTAATGGGCGCAGTGAGGCTGGAAATCCCTGCCACCTCCTGGCTCTCTGTGGTTTTGGAAATAGTTCCAGTTGGCCATTAGCAATGGCAAGAGCTGGCCCCATCCCTGGAGGGGTTCAAGGCCAGGCTGGATGGGGGCTTTGAGCAGCCTGGTCTGGTGGGAGGTGTCCCTGCCCAGGGCAGGGGGTTGGAACTGGATGATCTTTAAGGTCCTTTCCAACTCTGACCATTCTATGGTTCTATCTTAGAGGATTGATTCAGTCCATCGAGCCGTGGGGATGTAACGTGTTGTTTGCTCACATTTCTCCTCACCTGCCAATGCATTCGTTGGCTTGGGGCAGGCGGAATCCAGCAGAGCTCTGCAGTTCAGGAACTGTTCATGAACTTCTTTCTTCCTTTTCAGAAACACCACCGGAGTCACTGAGGAGGCCCTGAAGGAGTTCAGCATGATGTTCAAGTGAGTGGCAGGGAACGCGTGCCAGAGGAGTGCTCCTGAGATACGTGTGGCACGTGGAGGGCTCCTGTTGATGTGATTCTCTGGCCGATGTGTTTGTAGCTCCTTTGTTGTGTGCCCAGTTTGTGCTGAGCTCTCTGATCCCAGCCAGGTGGCAGGAACCCGCAGGGACACCCGCTGCTGGCTGGGTGCAGCCACGGCCGCACCAGAGCCTCTGCTGGGCAGTGGTGTAGGAACTGGGAGCACCAAGGAGTTCCACTGGCACTACAGCCATTTTTTGAATGCTTTTCAGGCAAAGTAAAGAATTTGTCCTCACATTTATGTGTGTTAGGTAGGGACTGTTCTCTGAGTCGTGCTCATTTGCCCAGAGTAGTGGCTGGTTATAACCTGTTCTAGTTTTCAGGTGTGTAGCTTTCAGTCAACAACTGACACTTAAAAAAATATGAGGGTTTATTTTTATGTTTTTAGGCACTTTGACAAGGACAAATCTGGACGACTTAATCACCAGGAGTTTAAGTCCTGCTTGCGCTCTCTCGGCTACGACCTGCCCATGGTTGAGGAAGGAGAGCCAGACCCAGAGTTTGAGTCTATTCTTGACACTGTGGATCCCAACAGGTGAGTGGGTTGGACCTTTTATTCTTATGTTGTAAAAAATCTGTATTCTTTGGGGAGTTGGCTGGAAGGTCTCACACATACCGTGAGCTTCCTTCTGCTGGGAAGAGGCTATGGTTGTTTTCATAATTCATCTAAGAGTCTTTATGAAGGTAAGACTGATGCTCACGAAGAGGAAGTTCCATTTAGAAAATGATCTGATGGTGACAGTCTCCTGCATTAAGACTTTCACTCTTTTTGGGAGGGCTGGGAAGGGCTGTGCTGGGGTGTTACTGACAGCAGTGCTCACAGGCTGTGTTTCACCGGCAGGGATGGACACGTCTCGCTGCAGGAGTACATGGCGTTCATGATCAGCAGGGAAACGGAGAACGTGAAATCCAGCGAGGAGATCGAGAGCGCCTTCCGCGCCCTCAGCTCGGAGGGGAAGCCCTACGTGACCAAGGAGGAGCTCTACCAGGTGAGTGCTGGTTGGGGCCCAGCAGGGAGGAAGAGATGGAGGCTTTTTGGTGATAGACTGTTCACAAGGACCAGCACTCCTTGCTCGGAGGTTCGTGTCACTGCAGTTGAGTCAGTTCTGAACCTGCAGAGGAGAGGTGTCCTCAGCAGCAAACAGGGATGATGTTACAGCCCTACCCAGCTGCTTTCTTGGCTCTACAGGGGAAAAGCTTTAACTGCCAGAGAACTACTCGGGTTGAGTAAAACAAGAGCTACTCAAAGCCCTGGGAAGGGGGTGCCTTTAGTGTGTCCATCCTCAGAAACTCATGCTTTCCTTGAGTCACTTGGAGGCTAGAGGGAGATGTTTCTCCAGACAGTGATTCAAAGGAGAAACTTAAGCCTACGCTCAGTCGAACATCTCCTCCCTCTCACGGCCCTGCCAAGGCAGCAAGTTTTTCCTGTCTGAATCCCACCAGCTGGCAGAGAAATAAAGAGGTTGCACCGTTTCTTCCTATCAGTTACCTCCTCTGCCTTCTCTTTGCTGGGAAGACTCGGGTCAGAGCTCCCAACCTTCAGCCCAACAGCACGAACAGCCGAGAGCGTTTCCACGCCGGGGGCAGTTCTGCTGCTCTGGCTTCTGCCCCGAGCTGTGCCCCCGGGGACAGGAGGATCCTGGTGAGTGCCCCATCCCCAGCCTCCCCGTGCCCGTCCCCACCTCCTCCTCCTCTCCTTGTCTTTCAGAACCTGACCCGGGAACAAGCCGATTACTGCATTTCTCACATATCCCCACCTCCTCCTCTCCTTGTCTTTCAGAACCTGATGCCAAGGCAGCAAGTTTTTCCTGTCTGAATCCCACCAGCTGGCAGAGAAATAAAGAGGTTGCACCGTTTCTTCCTATCAGTTACCTCCTCTGCCTTCTCTTTGCTGGGAAGACTCGGGTCAGAGCTCCCAACCTTCAGCCCAACAGCACGAACAGCCGAGAGCGTTTCCACGCCGGGGGCAGTTCTGCTGCTCTGGCTTCTGCCCCGAGCTGTGCCCCCGGGGACAGGAGGGTCCTGGTGAGTGCCCCATCCCCAGCCTCCCCGTGCCCATCCCCACCTCCTCCTCTCCTTGTCTTTCAGAACCTGACCCGGGAACAAGCCGATTACTGCATTTCTCACATGAAGCCCTACATGGATGGCAAAGGCAGAGAACTTCCTTCTGCCTACGACTACATAGAATTTACACGTTCACTCTTTGTGAATTGATCTAAAACACTAGTACCAAAAGTTGCAAAGAACATGCTCACGTTTGCTGACTGTAGCTCTGCATGTGTCTCCCTCTCTCTCTCTCTTTGTGCTCTACAATAATCAATGTTACTTTATGATGTAACCTTAAAGTGCTTAGCTTGAAACTCTTAGGGAAAACAAACATATTGCAGTGTGCTTCAATAAAAGTTACTGGTCGAACCACATCATCTTGTGTTTAATGGCTAAATGCAAATGTTTCGTGGGTGAAACTCCAGCTGTGGTAGTTGGGTGTGTTTCACAGGCTGACACAGAGGTGAGTGGGCAACTTTTCCTGGAGTCAGGGTGGTAACGAGCTTCACCAGCTGGTCGTGTGGCCGCCTCAGTCCGCGATCTCGCTGGCCAGCTGCTCCAGGTGAGTCATTTCCCTGGGTCCCTGCTCGGTGAAGTCCGAGCTCAGCTGCCAGACTCTGAGGGTACCAGCAGCGTCCCCTGCGGCCAGGAGCCGACTCTGCTTGGGGTTAAATTCCAGACAGTACACGGGGCGGTCGCCCGAGGCCTGCTTTATGGAGAGGGCTGGTTTCTGTGAGCTCTTCTCAAAGTCAAACAGGTGCACGTCTCCTGTAAAACAGGAACACTTATTGCAGCTTTTAAACACAACGTCTGTTGCCGTACAGCTGATTAAGTATCTACTTAGTCTGGAGTTGTTCTTTTTAGCCTGTTTCCCCTTCCCTCTGATGGTGTCCAGGCTGTAACAGGCAGCTGACAGCACAGATTTATTCTGCTCTCGGAGACCTGAAACCAGCTCGTCAAATTCTGTGAAATCTCCACTCCTTAACTCAAAAATGTTTGGGCACTTTTCTAAGAAAAAAGTTCTTGTTTTAAACCATTAGCTCTAGAAGTAAATGGCAAAACCAAAGAAGCTGGAAGTAACTGTCAGCCATGATTGTCTTGCCACGTTCTATCCCCATGAATGGCACCAGAAGCGAAGGTGTCGTCAACAGTGAAAAATAACCCTGACTGAAGTCATCCTGCGAGTGAGAAATGACTCCGTTACACTAATTGCACAGTACAAACCATCATCACTGCTCTCTGCTTGTGGGAAGTGCTAATCAGTACAATTAACTTGTATTAATTAACACCCAGCATGATGTTAATTTTATGTCTAAGAATAGGCGCCTGCTGTTACTTGCCTTCCCCAGAGGCAGCTGCGAAGACCAGTGGTCGAACTGGAGACCAGCGGACACAGAAGAGGTATTTCTTTGATAACTGGAGGGAGAGGAGGGGTTGTGTCTGCAACATGGAGTGCAAGTGAACCTGTCCGTCAGTCCCACAGCTCAGAAAGAGGTTCCTGGGGGTGGGAGGAAGCAAAAAATAGCTTTTTTTGGCTTTATTGTTAAAGTTAGAGAACAAAAAATCAGTCACAGAGCATGACCCTGGACAATACTGCTGGTTTGCAAAGGTCCAAGTGCGTTTCCTAAAGCAGCGATTTCCAAGCCGTAGCCTGGGCTGTGTCTGTAGAGACAGGGCTTTGTTACTGCCCTCAATTAAGTTTAATGAGGGCTCACGTTGTCCCCCCGAGTGCTGGTGGTGGGTTGTGGATGCCTGAGAATCGCTGATCTAGAGATGGGCATTGTTAGAGCCGGGTTTGTCTCATGCAAATTAAATGCCAACCAGGGCCCTCAGCACGACGTTTCATAGAAACAGGGGTTGGGGCCTCTGCCACGGGCGGTGGGTAAACGCCGGCAGAGACCGGAGCTGCTGGTAAGATCTGTGATGGGCAGCTCACTGAACCCCTGGTAAGTAAATGACTCTTTCAGCTCCTCCCTTTGTCTTTAAATCAATCTTTAACATCCAGGATGTGCTAAGGAAGGTGTGGATGGTCTGTGCTGGCCTGAGAGCAGGTGCAGTTTGGTGTTACTCGTGCCGTGCCCACACACAGCTTCACCAGAGCCAATGGACTTTGTTTCTCCTACGATGGGAAGTTCCTTGATGACGTTCCCAATGCCAGGTGACCCTTTTTTGGAACTGATCATACACACACCCCCACCCCAGGGACTATTTGACAAGTGCATGTTTAGAGCCTGGCAGTGATTGTGTCCAACACACAGCACTGGTGTTCACTGGTGGCACTTGCCTGTGGAAGGGCGAGCAGCTCACGGAGTAGACGGGGCCACCGTGCGGGGAGAAGGCGAGCTCTGCTGGTGCCCTGAGGGGAACAGAACTGCCCGTGCGATGGAGAGCTGGTGTCTCTGCTGCCATGGAGCACTTGAGGGAGTATCCACCTTCCACACCCACAACGAACACGTGGGGATCGAAGTGTGAGAAGGACAGCGAGGTCACACCCACGGCCGCCTCCCCCCAGGCCAACTAGGAGAGAAAAAGGACAAAGCTGCTGTGATAGTTGGGCTCCAGGTCAACACGCGTGTGGTTGGAGCAGCAGGGCCTTCTCCTGGCCCTTCACATGTGAAGGGCAAGTTCTGCCATGTGGGTTCCAGGGTGTTTTTGTCAGATGAGCCCTCTTTGAACTGCTCAACTCACCTTCTTCAGCTGAGCGTTGCGTGGGACCTGCTGAGCCACCACGGCGAACCCCTCGGCCAAGACCAGCCGACCGTCTCGCTCCTCCCTCCACACCAGGATCTTTCCGTCCGTCGACACACTCAGCAGCCGGTGGTGGTTTCTGTGCTTGGCGTCAGGAATCCAGCCAACCTGTGCCAAACCCCACGAGGTCCTGGTGAGAGGGACTGTCACAACCCCCACTCAGCAGCCTGCAGTCCCCTGACCTGCCAAAACACAGAGCAGGGCCGGGTGGCAGGCAGTGATGGTGGCACCAAACCAGCTTCTGCTGGGAGAGAATTCAGGGCTGAATTCTGTCCTGGGGTTTCTGTGGTTCCACCAGTAAGGTGACCAACAACTGAAGGGATGGACTGGAGCAATGACAACTCTCGCATCCCCGAGCCATGTCTGTGGTAGATGGTCTCCATTACCTGATAGACTGGGTCGGTGTGAGTGTCATCTGTCAGCCCTGTTCTCCACATCACAGGGTCTTCTGTTCTGCTGGTGTCCCACACCACCAGCTCCCCGCTGAACAGGCCACCTGAAAGGACAAAGATGCCAATAAAACATCTAAGAAGGGGTAACGGCGCGTAAACACGAGCAATGCAAGGGGCAGCTGGTGCTGTTACTGCCACAGAACTGGGGACAACTTCTCTTATTGTCAGTGAGCGTGACCCAAGTTCTGGGACAAGCAATTCCCAGCAGAAAGAGTGACAAAGACAAGGGCCCACCAGCCTCAGAGGACTGGCAGCCATACACTGGCTCAGTCAGCGCTGGTGTGAGAGGATGTAGCTCTAAAATATGTACTCTCCTCCCACTTCCACCCAGGGCTGAATTTCCTTCTACCATCTCTCTCTGAGAAGATGCCACTGGAAGAGCAGCAAGTCCCAGTCTGGAACCAACAGTTCCACCCGTCCACGTTGTGAGCATTAGTTCCTCAGTTTGAGGAGCCGCCATCACTGTGGCAAGAAATCTTAGGCTGAGCTGAGAGAGAGGTAAAAAAAATGATCCAAGCTGAAGGAAATGAGGGTAGATTTCAGGTAGGATCCAAGGTAAGAACAACCTACCAGCGACCAGCGCAGGCTGGGAGGGGTGGAAAGCCAGGCACATGACACAACTGGGAACATCCACCACTAGGTCAGGGCGCTGCGGATTCAACCCCCTTCTGTCCAGATTCCAGGTACAGATGTAGGATTTTTCTGTGCTCCAGTCCCCATCATCCAACCTGAAGAGGAGAAAGCTACATCTTGTGGAGAACATTCTCCACAACCATCAAATGGTGTTGGTGGCCCTGCACAAATCACACCACACGCTCCAGCTCTAGAGATTTCAATCCAGACAGGAAGCAATTATTTTGAGCCTGACTTCTACTGCCTTTATCTGATGCTCTTAATTCTTTTCTTGGACAAGATATGACCAAATAAAAGGAGAAATTTTTTATCCAATGGGTAGCTGATCTGTGAAATCCTTATTAAAAGATGTCATAGATGCTAAAAGTTTATAGAGATTGTATAAATTCACAGAAGGGAATTCTACTGAGGGAAACCACATTCCAACCTGAAAACAGCTGTGGACTGGAAGAGCAGCAGGGGCAGGTAACGTACAGGTTTGCCCTGTTTTGCTTTTCCCTGTGCATTAAGCTAATGGATCCCCTTTTGGCTGGGGCTCTTAATCTAGGGAAGAGAAAAAGGAACAAGGGCAGTAGCAGGGCACAGAAAGGAGAGGCTGCTACAGCCATTCAGTGGATTAGATCAAAGTTTTGTCCAACCCTCAATTCAAAAATCCTTAAATGTTTGTTAGTGCACATCCATGGCACCAGGCGCAGGCGTGAACGGGTGCCAGGTTCATTCGAGGTGCCAAGAGACCACATTAAAACAACACGATCTTCAATACAGATAAGCACCTACCTCCAAACCTCCCCCACGTGTATTTGCAAGCAAATCTGCTCTTTACACTTTCCCTCCAAATAAAATCCATCTAGAAACAAATCAGTAAAAGTACATGCATCCTTTTTTGGGGCGGGGGCAGGTAGAAGAAATAAAAGCCATAATTTAAGATTGCCCTAAGATTTTGTTTCTTTGAATATGAATTATTTAATTTGCTTAAGGTGTATATACAGGTCTAGTTTATTACTACAGAGAAAGCAAACGTATGTAAGACTTGGGTCAGTCTGAGATGTCACATCAACCTCTGTTGTGCTCTCAATCTGGTCAGACACTCACCGGCCATAGGAACACGCGACAACGGCTCCGGTTGCGTTCCACGAGACGCTGGTAACCTGGAGGTTTTGATCCTGAGCCTCTGGGTAGGACAGTGTGTGCAAACACAACACCTGGAACAGATCAAATTCAACCACTGAAGGGACAATCTTCCAAGCACAGAGAAGTGAGACCTGTGCACACCCCTGTGTGTGATCTTGTGGTTACCGCATTGCCTTCCCCTCTCTCCAGGCAGCACATAGTAATATCCAAGCACAGAGAAGTGAGATCTGTGCATACCCCTGTGTGTGATCCCGTGGTTACAGCGTTGCCTTCCCCTCTCTCCAGGCAGCACATAGGTATCTGTGAAAAAGTTGTTCATTTCCTACTGGGGAAAAAAAACCCCATAACACACAACCCTACCAAACCAACTGTCTCCTCATAATTCACTTTTACAGACTACACGCTTCAGGAGCTGCACGACAGCTCTGGCAGGCTGTGTCCTGAGGATTTACAGCAGCCCCCCCAGGCAGGAGTCTAGCACTCACCCAGCTTCACAAGCAATGGTTTGAAAATGACTGTACCAACAAATACAGACCAATACAAACTGCGCCCACTCCTGAGCACTGCACACTACACAAACATCATCTAAGTAGGAAGAGCTGCCAAATCACTGACTTCAACTGTTCCTAGATAACAGCTAGGCTGGGATGTTCTAAAGGGGCTACTGGAAGCTGAAGATAAGCCTACACCAGCTGCAGGCTTCCTTCTCACAAAGCTGCTGCAACACACTCCCTAGCAGGAAGAACAGTTTTACCAAGCAAGGGCAGGTCACAAGCAAGGGAGGAAGCTGGAGGGGAAAAAAACAACCAGTAATTTCTAATTATTAGAATCTGGCAAGAGCAACCACAGCAGTAAGAGATAGAACTAACGAGTTAGAGCTGCTACAACCAGCTCTGCTTGGGTACTGGCAAGGATCTGAATTCTGTCAACTCACTGTTTCGGTCTGATCCGTCCAGTTCACTGCAAAGCCATCGAAGGCACGGCTCTTCCAGTTCTTATTTAGCTCTTTGATAACAGCATCTTCCACTCTCTGAAGGAATGACAGAAGGCTAGTGTAGTCCACTTGGACTTCTTGCTGGAAGTCTTGGACAGCATCTTTACTTTGATCTGTCTGCACACCAGCATCTCGGCTACTATGAGACTGTACTGCAGTTTCTACTGTCGAAATTTTCCCAGTCTGGCAGCTTTTCTAGTAAAAGAAGACAGAGAGCCTATAATCCAAACAGAAAGAAGAGCATGCTGCACAAAACATTCAAAGCATCTTCCCCTTTTGGGGACTTCATAGAGACATACAAGCACATTTGCACATCTCTGATTCACAGTTAAAAGCAGGGTGTCTATGTAACTGTCAGGGTGTTGGTGATGATTTATTTGTGACCATCACACGCTCTGACACACAACAGAGATGCCTGAAGGCCAGTGGAATCCACAGCGTGGGACGGGCTGGAGGAGAGAGAGCAGGAAGGCAGAGCCTCCTGAGGAAATCACAAACACCCAACACGGTGACAAACGCAGCGTTACCAGCTCTCAAACCACCAGTTTTGTGGCAGCTGCAACGTGTGTTTCTTTGCCGATTTGTAAAAAGGGCCTAAACCAGTCAAACGCCACAAAAGGGGCAGAGCCAGCAGACAGACACCGCCGCCTCGGGCCCACCCTCCGCCGGTTCTGCCCCGGGCACCGGCACCGATACAACCCCCTCCAAGCGGGGGAAGGTCTCCGTCCCGCCCCGGGTTCACCGGGCACGGAGGGGCCGCGCCAGGGCCCGGCCAGCCCTTCGGCAGGGCCAGGGGGAGGGAAGGCGCAGGCCGCCCCCAACGGCCGCCCCCGGCCCGGCCCCTCCGGCGCTATAAGAGCGCGGGGCAAGGCCGCAGCCGCCCCGGGATCCCTCGGGGTGTCTCACCGCCTCGCAGCGTGCAGTCCGGGCGCTCCTCCACAGCGACTGCACCTCAGCACCGGCCACCGTCCGGTCCGCGAACATGGCGGCGAGCGGGGGGTCGCGGCCCGGGGAGTCCCACCGCCCGCTCCGCCCGTTCCCATGGAAACGGGTGAGGCGCCGAGTGATGACGTCAGCCGAGCGACGGAGCCACCGACCCGCGGGCGGTAAAGGGAGCCGGGCGGGTGCCATGTTGGGGAAGGGTGTGTGGGGGTTTGTGCGGCTCCGGGTGGGAGAGGGGTGTGGGGCTGGCTCCAGCGGGGGCGGCCCGGCGGGGACTTCTCCTTCCCCTGCGGCCGCCACAGCCGTTCTCCCGGCAGGTCCCG